GATTATGCATTTGTGCTCACTTTTAGTTTGACTTTGATGGCCTCACCTCACTGGTAGCGGACCCCAGCATAATCAGCTGTCATCTATGTCGGTAATCTGCTTGAACGCTTGTGTTCTGTCAAGGCCCCACACTACTGTTGTTACCGTCTATCTGTCATCTTTCTCTCCTGTTACGTGACCGACCAATCTGTGTTTCACTGTCAATCTACTTACACTAAATCTTGAAGATGGATAAGTTTCGAAGATTCGAGCTTTTAAAGTCGACTAGAAGGTATGGGTGCTGACTGAGTTTCAGAAGATAAACGTTCGAGCGTTCGATAAGTTGTCTTTAGTATTATGAACGTGATTGAAGTATTAGCCCCTTTTTCGCTTCACAAAGGAGTGCCCGAAACTTTGAAGTAAGAATAGTAAGCGCATCTTGGTTTTTCCCAAATACAGTCACTTTGCTCTCTATCTTCTATGCGGTGAGTGCAAAACTACTGGAAATTTATGCCTTGGTGAAATTCGCCATTCAATATTCTGATAAATTCCTCAAAAAAAAAGTTTTGATAAATTTGGTGAGGCAGCGACAAATTTATAAAACGATTTCATTCACTGGAAAAGAATTTTCCATAGGAATGTTAGTAATCATTCGAAAGCTTGAATCTCTAGCTGGAGCACTACGTTGTCGTTGAAACATCCATTTATAACGTTGTAAAATCTGAAACGAAAGTGCCCCGTCAAAAAGTTGACGTGTCACGGTCTTGCTGCCTTTCGATTTTGTTCGGCGAACGCGCGACGTTTGTGCTATTTTTCACTTCAGGAACTGCGATGTCAGCTTCAGAGAAAAGCGTTCGGAATTATGCGCATAGCGTGAAGATTAATATTCAAGATGTGTGTGAGAATCAGTATTTGATCCGGTCCCAATGACATCCTGCATATTGCGAGTCTAATCTATCATCGGTAACTTACCACCCTACGTCATAGACAAGAGCATTCAGTGTGAGGGAAACTGTGGTTCTTATATTGCGCATCATGTGATTTGATCTCTCCCAGACTCATAACATGGCTTCCGAAACGCTCGATTGATTGAATATGGTTCGGAATGATAATGAGAAATCTACGACAAAAGTTCTGTGCATCATTGTGAGCCATTAAAATTATATGACACCTACAGGTGTCGTACAAGCCAATCCGCGGCTTCCTGCTTGAAATTCAAGGAGTTTTCATGGAGATTGGGACGTTTCGAGAATTTCAAGCAAAGCTGTCTGTACAATCTGGTAGAGCACTATTATATAACATATCTCTGACACAACATGGATAACTGTTGCTCTGCTGTTGAGACGACCTGAAGATTCATCTGACCATGATTCAGCACAAAAAATTGATAAATAACACTCTAGCATGTTTTTATGTACCTTAAGAGACCTTCAGTGCGAGCATACACTCACACATGAGCGGTTGAGACATCGTCGAACAACATAACCATTATTCAGTACATTTCAGAAAACAGCTTATGACTGAGATTGGAATGAAACGTCAATTGAGTGTTCGGAAGAAATCCAGCGCCCAACGTGTATCCCGGACGTGTATTCCTCATCAAATTAGGAGCGCAATTTGAACAAAGCGTACTAAAACGATACCTCAGTGAATGTCAAGAACATTCCCTGCAAAATGATCTCTATCCTTTTCCTTTCGTATCTTTCATATCAGTAATGTATCTGTTTCAGAACTAATTACTCTTTTTGTTCAATAAACTATGTACAAAATCATTTAGTGCACAGACTGACATGATCAATTTAAATTCAAAACCATCCATAACCACTGAGTATTAACATTTTGCTTTGTATTATAGATTGACCCTACCACCTTCGCACCAGCCAAAAATGATTAACGCAGTTTGGTGGGAAATTGGTCATCATACCTTTTCTGTTTAGTCTCACTAGTTTTCAATTTTCATTATACGGTGCATCATCCGCTCGGGAGCACCTGCCCAATCGCACGTTACTTCGCATTCTAATGTGATATCATTTGAATGTCGCATTTAGCAATCAGCCCAACGTCGGCAGAACTTGATCGAGTTTACTTCGATTATTTTCTCAACCACCATCTCGACTTAGTGCCTATATCGCGTGTTCAAGCTTTTTATTTTCTATGGTAACATTCACAATGTATTCTGAATGTGAAAAGCACACCGCCAATGTTATTAGGTCTTCCCATAAGTTCCAACACTAGATCAACAAACATCAGATTTATTATTCAATAGTAATTAAAATCGTTTAACAATACTATTCACCTAAACACATTTCTGCCATCTCTCAGGCAACAAATCAAAATCGCGCCCTAAGAACTCGTTGTGCTTGGATACACAGAAAGTGACCAGTCCTCGACGCAAATGATTGTCTAGGAAAGTCTTCTTACTCAAGAAGTGCTTCAACGACCGGCAGAGGTGATAGTCAGACAGCGACAGGTCAGGACTGTACGGCGGGTGATCCAGCAACTCCCAACCTAATTCGTCAACTTCCTTCTTGTCAATCTGGCGACATGAAGGTTTGAGTTGTCTTCAATCTGGCGACATGCAGCCTTGAGTTTGTTTTGTTTGAGCTGTTTTCTAGTTGAGTTGTGAGATGATGTGGCAAGTATGGAAAATTTAGTATCAGAAGAAACTCGAAAAATTTTCTCAAGAGGTATTGATTTCTCCCTGAGAGATTGCATGTTCAGACTGATGGCGCTTACTTTGAATAGTATTTTTGAGCAAATTCATTAAGTCGTTCCATAAGTATTGGCACTAAATAAATAAACACAAAATTCATTAAGAAGAAATATTTGAAATTGCGTGGTCTTGGCATCGTTCAACTGCTTATTTCCTTGCGAACGTTCTGGCATACAGCCTGTACTTGCTTTGAATTAGAATTGTGGGAACAAACTTGCTTGCTAATCATACTTGAATGGCACGTAGGAGAAATTGCTAATGAAGCGGTCCTACATGAGTAAAAGGTAAATTTGTTCCCACGACAGCTTCATTTTGGAGCAAGTATAGGCAAGTTGAGTATAATATATAATAAAATATTTATATAATATATAATAATGTTTATATAATATATAATAAAATCTATATATAGTAAAATGTTTGCGAACAAATGCGCGCTTGAACGAAATTAAAATTTTGCAGTTTTAATTACTTCGGGTTAAATAATTTTGTATTTATTGCTTTAAATCCATAACTTAAGAAAAAGCCTAGTGATTCTTGCCTACATCGAAAATGCGAAAAATTTTCAAATAGAACTGCAGTCAGCATGATTGGAAGGTCGAGCACACATTATTAAACTGGGTATGTTGATTATATCATTTTGAAAGCAAAGAACATTGTTCAAAAAACTATTCGTTTTGGAATGTATACCAAAAACGAGAACGGTCACTGGTTAGGAACCGTGACTTATCCTAACACGTCACGTCCGCTTTTTAAATGGGTCCAAAAATTTTGCAAGCACAATCTATTTTGAGAAGGATCTTGCGTAACACCGCATGCAAGTCTGCGCGAGATAAGCTCGATTCCGTTACCGTGCTTAAGGATTAGGGAAGTTGTACAAGAGCGAAAAAAATATGTGGAGGCATTAACACTTTAATCGGTTGTTCGATTGTTGACAGCAAAGTGTCAACGGCACAGTAAACCAGAATTCGTTTTATTTGACCGCCTTTAGCGGTGTAAGATGTTATAATGTACCCAGTGGTAAAGTGTGATGTGTGATGTTTAAAAACATCTACGACGCCCGCTTTGACACCACTTCTGCGCTACAACGCTTTATCTTTCAACACCATCCGTCAACGATCTGGCGTCGGCAGTCATTATCGACATTAAACCCACTTGTGCTGGCAGATATTGGGTATCAATAATTAATCAGCGCCCCGGATAGGGTGAAATCTAGGTGCGAATCCAAGCTAACGAAAATGTTTTTGCAGATCACTCTTTACCATTGGATACAGTATATATCAATTTTCGTAAATTCATAAACGAAACTCTGGACTCGCTATTCAACTACTTACGCCCTCACAGCTGCGCAAGATGCGATATGCAATAAGTTCGAGATGTAATGCGATCAAAAATGATGGGCAAAGTGCGAAGGTGGAAAGGTTCCGGCTATAATTTGCCAATTTAATGCTGAAAAAAACGGAGAAATACTTCAAAGCGTAGGGGAACGGTTGCAGTGAAACATGTTCGGCGCCGCTACCCATAGTTGAAGCGGAACGGTTGTACCGAAAGGCATGCGCTACTAAGGTTTGCCAAAGTAAACTGAAACATGCGCTAGCGCTAGAGATGTCATATTACACCTCTAAAAGGCCCAAAATTTGATATCAGACATTTAGAATGTTTCTTCTAACTGTGCATCACCTGATAAGAAACTCAAAAGTCAATAGTGAGTTTCCCAAAACTGGATATCTATTAACCTTGGCACAAGATTTATTAGATTGAGGGAGAAGTTCTTCAACACCCGCAACAACAACTCTACAATCGATGCTTTGCGGCTGGTAAGATCAATACAATAACTTCTTTCTCGACTGCTTATCAAAAGGCTCTTTCAATGTTCCTAAGAGAGTTGAGTTGTGAGCAAAAACACGACCTCAAGAGAGAATCAAACCCGCGTTCCATCCTATACGGAGACGCGTGCATTATCACTACACCACAGTGACACATTTGCGCCACCACTCATTCTTCAACATCTCTGTGTTAGCTATTAGCCACCAACCTTTGATAGGTTTGGGTCGGGCATGCGATTTCGCTCTATAAATGCAGTTGTGATGACAGCCATTGTGATAACTAATATTCGACATTTCTAGTATTTTTACTTCATTTTTCGCAGTGTTATGATCATCTATATATTCCTAAGAAAATATTAGTTATCACATGGCTGTCGGCTCAACTGGGTATATAGAGCAAAATCGCATACACGATTAAACCTGTTAAAGGTTGGGGTCCGATAGCCAACATAGAGATGTTGGAGAATGAGTGGTGGCGCAAACGTGCCTTGGTGGTATAGTGGTGGAGCCCGCGTCCCCGGATAGGATAAAACGCGAGTTCAATTCTCGCCTGAGGCTGCGTTTCTGCTCACCAATAAATTCTCTTAGGATTATATGAATGGTCATAAAACTGCGAAAAATTCAGCGAAAACAGTAGGAATTTTCCGAAAACCTTTTTGAAAATTCATATGCTCTGAGAAAGTTTCTGTCTTTCCCGAGGTTTGGTTGTTGCATCCAAAGCAACATTGTGGCAGGTGCTTGTTCTCGATGATAAGAGACGAGTGGCCGAGAAGATGGCAATGATGATGGCTAATACGCCGAAACACGCGTGTCTGCCAAAGTGTTACTGTGGATGAAGTCACCAGATCTCAAAAAAGGCGGCTAAAAATTGTCACAGACTGTAAATCTAAGCAAATTTGAGGCTTAAATTGATTTTGAGCAAGTTTTCTTGTAATCAGAGAACGAAGATGCCAATTAACGCAGAGACGTTTCATTTAAAAAATACACTGTCCATGGTTCGATGAGTTCCATTGCAAATGAAAGGCATATCTCAGCTTTTAGAAGTGGAATCGATGTAAAATGCTTCGATAAATAGAAAGAAAAACCTTTGAAGGCGTCCTATCGCAGATTACCTGAAGTCTCATGAAAGTATTTCTCAAATCCGCCTATTTTAGACTATGGAAAGTGAAATCTATTACCTCTGCAAACCCTGAAACCCACACTGCTGTGTTTTTTTTTTCTATTCAGAATGCCTAGCTACGTCCTGCAAACACTGCTACGCAGATATAAACGTCGAATATTATTCTTCTTAGATTTTCATTTGCGTCTTTTTAACAATATATTGGGCTTGCGAGCAATACACCTAGCTAGAGTTCATTTTGGTTCATAGGGAATCATTTATCACATATCTCTCAGCTATTTCACAAAACAGTACTGAAAAATAAGTGAATCAAAACAGTAACTAAAAGAATGTATTACCATTGCCGTTCATTTGGAAAACACAGTTTTCAGTGGAAATGTAGAATTATTGGGATGAAAACTATATTTTCACAAGGAAAAGTGGCAAATGTGAAGTTATGCGTTTTTTTGGGCTATATTTCAGAAAACCCCAGAGAATCCCAGAGAGATTCATGCATTGATAGTTCCATCGAATTTTTTTGATAAGTCAAAACCCAGATTGCTATGATTTGATTCAAATAATAAGGGTTTACTGATATTTCACCTTTATAGCACTGCTGAAAGTTATAACTATATTTTCTTGAATGCTGAGCGACATGCAAAACTTGAAAGCTCACTCGCGAGTTGAAGACGCATTTCACTCTACCGGAGGAGCGTCCTATCACTGCACTCTCGAAATCCCAGGTCAATTACCACTCTTTCTTCCAAACAACTTCAAATTCTAACATCATTATTATTGATCAATTTTCCAGTTAATTGATTATTACAATACAATAAGTATGATTATTTATGGCGTGTGACAACACACCGGTGACTTCTCCCATACCAGCACTTTGGTGACTTTGAAGATGACGAAATCACTGACACGTTAGCCATCGTAATAGAGGAAGACATCAACTTCGCGGAAGCATTGTGCCAAAAAAGGACACATCGTGAGATAGTCCATTTCTCAAAACAAAGTTCAGTGATGGTCGGCTGGTTTATTTCTGAGACCAAAAATCAGTGAGAGTCGGTCTTATGATCTACCTAACCCTCATACTCACCGTTCTTGTGAGTTTTTTATTCGATTGCCAATGCATCTCTCACATTGAAGAATCATTCACATATATTGTGTCAGACCATGATTGAAAACAAGGCAGTACCACCATGTTTTTGCCTGTGCTCAATGAGTTTATCCAGTGGTTTCGCGTCCAACGCGCACAGCATACTTCTTTTGGAGAACAAATGACTGCTTATCAATCATTTTTCTCATGTTTACTTCGACTAGAAGGCGGAAATAAATGTGTTTTGATATTTAACTTCATTTGCTTTCAGATTCATTTTTAACAACAAGGTACGATGGCAAAAGCACCTACAGAAATTCTAAAATCTAAAAGATAACCAATGGTGATGTGAAATGAACTCGAATCATGGCCACGATTTCCAGGGACACGTGTTTGTTCGCACTGCACCCGTGTGACCCTCGTTCTACTTCGCTTAGCCGTGTTTCAATTATAGTTGGCGTCTGTCAGCAATCATCGCCAACGAGATCTGAGAAATACAAGTTGGCTTAAACACAGTCAAGATGAAGCTGTGGTAGCAATCACATTACTGTTGGCAGCCACCGATTGCTGCTAACGCTTTCGGAACCGCGGTTAAATTCGCCCCGCAGAGCGCGAATGGAAAGCGAACAGGATCTCTGTTAAATGTGGAAATATTGTCAGGTTTTGTACATGAATTTGATGCTCCATGTTTTTTGGTACATCCTTCCTTCGCATAAGGATTTGGTGCTTCGTATTTTTAGTACATCCTTCTATGTTTCTAATCCATGTTAAAAACTTTTTAGCGGTGACAAAGTGCTCGTTCACTACGTAATCAATTTTGTTGTTGGCACTCAGTCATTTGCAATAAGTTGTACAAAGAATATCGTAATAAGACACCGGTTGCGGTATTCTTTTATTTTACACAAAGTCCAAAAGTCTAATTTCCAACGGTCACAATAAAGAGTACCAATAAACGCGCTATGAAAGGGACAGAGCTAGCCAATTACCTGGAAATCGAAACGTAATGTTCTCCTCATTTCTATAGCACACCACTAGGGAAGTCTCTCCAGAAACAAGCTAGGTGCTCAAATTGCCGTTTTTCAAGCTATCGAAAGACTATGATAAGTCTAGAGGGATAGCTTTGTCTTGCGATTGAAAAACCAACAAACCCACCAACTTGAGAGGCAGTCAGATGCACCGAAGTTTTCCTGGTAAAACACCTCTCTGCCATGTATATCACCGTTGACTAATATCATTATGAGTAATTTATTTACTGCTCCACGCATATTAATATGCGGTTTTTTAAAATGGGAAGGAATGGTTGTGATGCTCGTCGCGGCGCGCAAGGAACCGAGCTCCAGGTCCCAAATTTCTCCGGCAGTTAACAGCAACCCCTTATGAAAAGCCATATCCAGGCTATCCTCGGGATTATAAGGAGACTCGCTCAACCAATATTTTCAGATGTTCAAGAAGAAGGCGAAGAAAACGAATTGAGTGCTAGAAGTACTGGGATCCGCACAGTAAATAAAATACTGCAAAAAGGGATCAGTAATGTATCAAATCTGTGGTTTTTAGAAATAGTGACTTAAACGGTTAAGTACAATGACGTTCGGTTAATACCGAACCAGTAGGTGGAATGGTTGGTTGGTTGGTAAAGGGGGTGTCGTCCAGTAAGCCAGCCCCTTTTATCAAGCTACGGGCAAGTCTTCGAAGCGACGTTCTGCGCTACTGCTAAGCCAGTCCTTCTACAGACTATTCATGAGGGATGTTCCAAAACTGATGTGAAGCAGATGAACATATAGGGCTAAAAAAAAACGAGAAGTGGGAAAATATGACGATCGATGAGATAAAAAAGTCGTCATCTTGTGCCTTCGAATGAGTGTGATGTAACTGCCCGTGGTGAAAGATAACTAAGGCAGCCGTCCATCTTTTCATAACTTCAATTTGAACCGGGTATCACGTCGACAGATAGATTTCTGAAGGTTATAAATCACTTGCATCTAACAGAAAATGAGTGGTGCGCTGCAGAAGACACCTTATTCATTGTACGCCCGCTGCCATCGCTCATCAACAGGAACTGTAAGGATTTGCATAAGCGAAGAAGACTTTGATGCAATTACGAATCGATGGTGCATTTACTCAGCGAAGCACTAATTTTCGATGAGTGAGAATTTTCATTCGAGTGGTGTTCCAATGTAAAACTTTAGACCTGGACGAAAACAAAGGCGGAGATGCTCAGGGGTGACGAACGCTTTTGCGCAATCGACTCGAATAGTCGACTTTGAAGAAGACGAAAACGTCGCAACGTGAACCAAGCAAAATTATCTTTGAATCTCGTGTAAGCTTTTCATACAGAAGAATAATACTGATTGCAATGCCGAGTTAGAAAAAAAAGCCGTTTTCAAAATAATCTTACACGCATTTGATACCATGCATCATCCACATGTTCGTGTTTTTCGTCGAACAAGTGATGTTACTGTAGGAACGAGAGAAGGGAAATGGGCAGGATTTTTACTAATTCGTCTTTTGCACTGAATCAGCTCTCAATTTTTTTCTACTTCCTATCTTCTCAAAATCACTCATATTTGTTTACTACCATTTACAGTATACCATTATTATAGGTCATTATTTCTACTCACTTTTACCTCTAATTGGATAGCTCCTCTTCGCTATTAGTGCAAGCTTCAGCATGATTTTTGCTTCTCTCTCGTGTCATCTATGGTGGCAATCATCTTCAAACATGGTGGTATTCGCGAGGCCCATTTTGTTGCCCCACTCTCGTTACCGACTGTTAATGCAAATGGCTCACATTGGCTATGCAACATCCACCCATCCTTTAGTTGGTTGCCCGAAAGGATACTTGCACTCTTTTGTGATCCACTCTTCTACTGACTTCGTCTGTTCGTCATCTGTTTTTAATATTACGTAACTGGCTCATCCAAGTTTCGCTATCGGTCTACATAGTTGTATATTCAAGGAACCAATACGTATCGAAGATGTGAGCTGTTTAAGCCGGCTATACGATAAAAACGTCGACTGATCTCAAAGAGAGATCGTTCAAATGCTCTATAAGTTCTTCGCAGAATACTTAACATTCTTGAAGCATTAGTTTTCGTTTTGGATGCACAACGACCAAAAGAACTGTGAAATTGAGAAGGTGATAGCCCTCTGAAGCTTCCTCGTTGATTGGTGCCTTCTTTGAAGAGCACGAATGTACCCAATGCTGCTCCTTTGTTAATCTGTCGTTGAGCATTTTTCATTACTTCACTGGTGTTCATCGAAAGGATGGCAGTGCCACGAGCTAAATAAAAGTCGAGTTTTAGGCACTTTTTGGTTATCTGTACCCATTTTAACCCTGCAAGAGCCATCGCATTTTCT